TCTCTCTCTCTCTCTCTCTCTCTCTCTCTCTCTCTCACACGTATACAGCTTTCTGAATGTGTACATTTGCACCCCTCTATGTATACAGCTCTCTCTCTCTCTCTGTGTCTGTGCACCCTTATACCCTCCCAAAACCCGCTATATTCCCGAAGAGTGTGAAGCCTGTTGTAGAGGCCAGGTCCCAGACACACACAGTAGTTGCAATCTTAGCCAGCCGTCAGTCGTTCCGATGTTTTTGTGAGACCGCCTCCCTACCCATTCTCTCTCATCCATGCCGTTCCTATCTCCCAGCCGACATTGGACTGTCCGAATGGTGAGGACGGACGCAGAGATTTGGCGTGCATTTCAAAAGGGTGTGGGTTGCATTTGAGTACAGTGTGTCATGTCCGGGTCTTCTTCTTCCTTGGGTTCCGTTAGTTTGTTTGGCTTATGATGACCCACCTCTCACCTGCTACACCCTACATCCTGTATCCACTTAATCATCCACTGCATTAAAGTTTACCTACGTACTTTCACTATGCGAGGATCGAGCGCCTTGCAGGGCCTTTCAGGGCCCGGACACCCGACATGAAAGGTGGCCCCCAGCAAGCCTCTTGCCCGCCCAACGTGAAGGCGGACCTGCATTTAAACATGAGGCCTTATTTTTGTCACTTCTGCATGTGGGGGGGCACAGAAAGTTGTCACGCACCAGTGGGTTGCAAGGTGGCGCCCACGCCGTGTGGGATCATGATATTGTGAGCCTCTGGGCTCGCCCAGGCAGCGGCGTGGCCCAAGAGGCCTTTCGGCCAACGGAAATGCAGCGAGCGACGCGGGCAACATCGCACCGTTGGGCTGCTTAACTGTTGCGGGCGCAGGCCACTGTGTGCACATTGGGCCTGGGCGCAGATACTGGGGCCCGCCTACGGCGGCTAGAAGCTACTGGAAACTCCGTAGCCAGGCCCGGGGCGTGCGAGGCCAGAGCTCACTTTCCATTTTATAGGAAAGTGAGAGCCCTGTGAGGGGACATGCTGGCTTTGCTCATGGACGCGGCCACGCTGCTGGAAGACAGCGCGAGCAGGCTGCCACGGAGCTGGCTGGAGGGCGCACACGGGCGCACAGAGGTAAGGGGCGCTGCAAGGGCAGCGGGCGCACGGCCGCCATAGCCAGGCTGGCCGCACGCGTGCTAGTGTGGGCGATGGTGGTCTTCGGGTGAGGGTAGACACTGTGGTAAGAGAAGGGCAGCGGGCGCACAACAGCCATAGCCAGGCTAGCCGCGCGCATGCTACCAGTAGTGTGGGCGATGGTGGTCTTCGGGTGAGGGTAGACACTGTGGTAAGAGGTGGTTAAGTCAGAGAGAGAAGAGAGGCGCATACGTGGTGTATGCGGCAGTCTGCATGGGCGACTTCGTCACGTACATTGCTCTTCAGTTTGAAGTGATTCCAGTTGCTTGTCATAATGTAGGCTAGATAGGTACTGAGTAGAGATAGGGTGGGGGGGGGTGGGCGCCAAAGGAGAAGGGCGACATTGGATAATTTGTTGGTGGTAGCGGGAAGAGGCCGACATTGGCATTTGAGTTCACTGTATTGTTGCTCTTATTTGGCTTGTATCTTATCTCAGTGCATTGCATTGTGCTTTCTGGTCGGTACACGACTATCTGGTCTTGAACGTGGTACTGCAATTTGGTTTTCTTTTCTGTCTATCAGTCTCTTGTCTCACTCATTTTCCTTGCAACTAATGAATTCATTAATTCATGTGCATTAATTAATTTAATTAAATTATCATCCACTTCATCCCCCTCATTTGCTGTTGATCTTTTCTTTCTTTTTTGTTTTTTTTTTGTTTTTAATTTTACCTGCTGAATCCTTGCCTCCATATCTGCTTTGCCTTGCTCAGTCTGCAGAGCCTTTCGCATCCCGAAGGCCACACTGCTCTCGTACAATGTCTGATAGGCAGCTATTGTCTGGAACAGCAAATGTACAATTTATTAATTAATATTAATATTAATATTTACAAAATTTGCAAAGGCAGTTTTAGAAAGACAAATTTAAAAAACATGGATCGTAGTATACTAAGTATAGCACTCATGAAGACTCCGCGACGCTTTTCTGCCGCTTATTATATTTTAAAAGTTTAATTCATCTGATCCCATCAGGATTCGAACTTCCGGGGGGTGATATAATCCAATTCGACAGTTCGTGAGTCACCCCACATTCGAACTCATGAGCTGTCAATAAAAAAACATTCAGCCTTCACGGGGTGATATAATCCAATTCCTGAGCTGGGTGTGTGTGCATTATATCACCCCACACACAGTCAGGTCAGCCACATTAGGGGGGGAGGGGGTGTGGGGTTATATAATCCAATTCCTGAGCTGGGTGTGTGTGGATTATATCACCCCACACACAGTCAGCTCAGCCACATGAGTGGGGCGGGGGGTGGGGTTATATAATCCAATTCCTCTCTCTCTCTCTCTCTCTCTCTCTCTCTTAAGACGAATGGAAAAAGAAAAAGGAAAATGTCAAAGAAAACCATGGTTACCCCGGACCCGGAGATAGCATGATGTCCGGCCGGACCAACATCTGGAAAAATCCGGAAAAAAAAAGAAAAGAAGAAAAAAAGAAAAAGAAAAAAAAAAAGAAAAAGAAAAAGAAAAAGAAAAAGAAAAAGAAAAAGAAAAAGAAAAAAAGAAAAAGAAAAAGAAAAAGAAAAAGAAAAAGAAAAAAAGAAAAAGAAAAAGAAGAAAAGAAAAGGTTACAGAAGGTTTAGAGACATGGAGTGAATTGGGCCCTACCTCCAGCCTGTGCACCTCTCTCTCTCTCTCTCTCTCTCTCTCTCTCTCTCTCTCTCTCTCTCTCTCTCTCTCTCTCTCTCTCTCTCTCTCTGTGTGTGTGTGTGTGTGTGTGTGTGTGTGTGTGTGTCTGTCACTCTCTGTATCTATCTGTATGTCTTTGTTTCTGTCTGTCTGCCTGTCTGTCTGTCTGTGTCTGCCTGTCTGTCTGTCTGCGTCTGCCTGGCAACCCAAATAGGCTAGCGGAGTTGGTTGAGCACGTAAGTGGTATTCAGGAGGTCATGGGTTCGAGTCCCCACGTCATCCATTCGATCCCCCGCAGCCCCCTGGCTATGCTTCAGGTTCACCAGCAGAGAAAATTCGCTTGGGCCTCCTGGCTGGTTGCGGAAGCAGTGTGCGTGCTTTCCGGCTTGTGCCAGGTGTTAGGAGCCGGGGTACTGCTCCCCCCATAGAGCAGAGTCGAGCAGAATGGCAAAGGCCGGGAACCCATAACTGCTATGAATTGAAATACTTGACTTAGATAACAGGGTAGGTAGTGGTGTAAGGCATATGAGTGAAGAATATAGCTCAGTTTTTTTAACTTTTTTCTTAAAAAAACGAAAGCAACCGCTTTTCGGGAAAGACATTCAACTGGTTTCATTGATAGTAATCTGCAACACCTTTGGGATGATGATGCCCGCCCAGATAGCCAGATAGCCAGATAGCAAGACAACCAGATAGAAAGACAGCCAGATAGAAAGGCAGCCAGATAGCCAGATAGCCAGACAGCCAGATAGTCAGACAGGCAAATAGCCAGATAGTCAGATAGGCAAATAGCCAGATAGTCGATAGGCAGATAGCCAAATGCAAGATAGGCAGATAGCCAGAGAACCAAAAGCAAGATAGGCCGATAGCCAGATAGTCAGACAGGCAAATAGCCAGATAGGCAGATAGGCAGATAGCCAGATAGGCAGATAGGCAGATAGCCAAACGCAAGATAGACAGATAGCCAGAGAGCCAAAAGCAAGATAGGCCGATAGCCAGATAGCCACCCAATAGTCAGATAGCCGATAGGTGAGTAGTAACCGATAATGTTTTTGAAAATGAAATGAAATTTATGTCGTCGGCTATCACCCTGACATCACCTAATGACATACACCCCACGCTGGTTGGTTCATTTCTATTTTTATAGTTTCGTATGCTGACATCACATAATGACATACAAATTTACAAAACTATAAAAAAATAAAAATAAAAATTCGTAATCAATAATGTTTTTGAAAATGAAATGTAAATTAGACGACGGGTGAGCAAATGAAACACCACTGACAAGAAAACATCGCCAACGCAAGGGTCATCCCTCTTGCCAAATCGCCAAATAGCCAACAGACTCACAACTGAAAGGCAGAACATGACTACAAATTGCGTTGGCTATTCTGGACTGGAAACAGTGCAAACCTTTTCTGTCGGCTATACCAATAGCAACCACGATGAACAAAAACCTAAAAACATATATATATATATATATACAGTTTGTCACAGCTCCTCGTTTGTTGTCCTCTTCTCCCTCTCTGCCTACGGTTTACCGGGCAGTTCTATTTGACGATATATACATATATATGTATATATTATATCGTCACAAACAGAACTGCCCGGTAAACCGTAGGCAGAGAGAGAGAAGAGGACAACAAACGAGGGGCTGTGACAAACTGTTATATA